TGGCTGGGCCCGAGTCCCTGGTTGTCCTGCAGGTTTGTTGATATCAGAATTTCACTTTGAGAATGTTTGAGGCAATAGCTAAAAGTGATGAAAGCAATTACTTAAAAATTACTTCAGGCCTCAAACATACCGCAAAACTCTGCGTTCTCTTACCGTAACGGTCCCTTTGCTCTTTATTTTAGCCCACTAATGAATGATGGCACAAATTCTGGCAATGTTGGAAACCTCAGCTCAATGCCAACAGCTGCACCTCCTTCTAGTACCGGGGTAAGGAAAGCATGGCATGAACATGTCACTCAGGACCTGCGCAATCATTTAGTGCATAAACTGTGAGTATTCACCAAGACTGGGTATTTTTTCCTGAATGTTTTTAGAGGATTTCAGTACAGCAGTTCTACAGTTAAGCCGAAAACTTGTTGAGAAAGTTACCGGTAGTGGTTCTCTGATGCTGGGCTGCTGAGGCTGAGCTGTTACCTTTAACCTACCTCTTGAGTTCTTCGTGCTGGTTAAGGAGTGGGCGTGAAATTAGTTTATATTGCTGGGAAATTCACTCTGCTGTAGTAAAGAAGTATTTAGACTCTAGACTGTTAAAACCCCCTTCTTTTTATCATTGAATTTGCTTTAATCTTGTAGGAAATAGTACAATACTGATTTAGGGGGGTTTTAAGCAATTTTGATATACTTCTACATGTCTGATGTATAAGGGGATGTCCAGAATGAGTATCATAAAGCTGTATTGAAGTTTGAAGTTTTTTTTTTCTCTCTGAAGAATTTTTCTTTTGTTCTTTCTCCTTTCTTGTAGTGTCCAAGCCATCTTCCCCACTCCTGATCCGGCAGCACTGAAGGATCGCCGCATGGAGAACTTGGTGGCTTATGCCAGGAAAGTGGAAGGAGATATGTATGAATCTGCTAATAGCAGGGTATGTTGCTTCAGTTCAGGTATTCAGTATATGTTGAAGTACAGTAGTATCACAAATCTTATAAGCATAATGAAAACCACAAAGAATCATTACACTGCTCTGTTGATGAGGAAAGTCATGCTTTCTGTCTGTGGCAGTGTTTGTATAGTCCCAAACCATCTGATTAATGTCACTCCAAGCTAATTCACCTCCCTCAGCTCCATGAAAACTAGACATCATCGCAGCCCTGTTTGCATTCCTCCTGAAAGTGTGATTGATGTGCATGAAGGTCAGAGCACAGCTTGCAGTTCTTGATGTTTCTCTTGCTGACTTTCTCCTTTCTGGAAGTCTGTGTAAATAGTAGTTTTAAAACTTTCTTAATACCTCCTTACCATCGGAGGCTTTCTCTAGGACTCAGTCCTGTTATACTGCATACCTTTTACCCACACTGTTGGAACTATTTCCCCTCTGCTCAGCAACACCAAGAGTGATTTGGCTGAGACACATAGCTGGTTCAAGTCTCAATAAGAAGTCAGTTTGCTACGTTTGTCCTTGTGCATGGAAAACAAGTCAGAATTCTTGTTCTCGTTCGTGATTTTTGCTGTCTGCAAAGAGGTATCAGTTCAAATCTCTGTTACTCAGAGTAAGCAAACCCCTGTTGATTGACACTGAGTATACGATTTGATTATGACACTGGTGATTCTACCCTAAAGGAACCACTCCCTGAAAGTTTTCATCAGGTAAAGACAGTGTTAGTAGCACCAGTAATAGTAGTTAGTGAGATCTTAACTGGTCAGAATCTTGAGGTCCTTTCATAGATGAGGTAAGAGTATCTAAAAAGAGAGTAGTTAGTGGCATTTCAGGTGATAATCATCCAACAAGGCAGTAACACTTAGTCTGTGCCTCTCAGACCATCTCACAGAAGGCTGAAGATGGAATGCAAGGTTTATTTCCTAGAGGCAGATAGGCAGTGGCTGTGCTTGTAATGCTGCTGCTGTGTCAGCGTTGGTCAGCGACAGTAACATGTTCTGCTTGTGGCTACCAAGAGGTTGTTTAGCAAGGAAGACTTGTGTGCGATCACCCTTGATCACCCTGCGGCTTTAGAGATCAGCTGTAGAGAGAACGAGGATTTCATAGACATGCATAGGCATATAAATACCCTCTCAGTAAGGATGAGCATAGTAAATTTCTGGTTATAAAATTAAATGTCTTCTGACCTCTATGCCAGACAGATACCCAGAAGTATCTTCACCCCTTAAAACACCTGTCAGGGCTCTGTTGCCAGAAGTCTCTTTTATGGGAATTGATGTAATGTATTTGGCTCCAAGCAGCAAGAAGACGGAAGAAGGAAGTAGTTTAGAATGTATTAACGATGCCGTGTGGAATTGAATCCTTCTTTTTGACGAGCATCCATTCTGCTTTGACGCTGAAAAACAGATTAGTGTGAGGCATCATTGTAAGCAGCTTGACATTGTTTTAGTAGTACGTGCTCCTTGTGAACACATTCTTTTTCAGGAATCTTTGCAGTGTGAAAGTAGCACAATATTAAATTTACAAGTGGGAAGTTACAGGTGAAGTGTCTTGAGCAGGAGGAGGGAAAGGGCTGTAGTGCTTTTAAATTGGACAGCAGAAAGTGTCTGTGCTGACACTTTGATTTTTGGGATAGTTGGAGGAGTTAAGTGACCTAAAACCAAAGCTTAATATTGCAACACTGGACTTTCTTAATAAGGCTGGTAAGGAACACCTTTCTTATGTTAGTTTTCTGAAATTAGATCAATCTTACTGTAATAACAAATTCTAGTTTTGATGAAAATCGGATGAAGACAAAATGATTGTGGGACAAGCATCACTCAGCCTTTGCTCTGGGTAACACTGGGTTTTAAGAGCACAGGTGACCCCACAAAAGAAATGTTCTCTTGAGGGTTTGTGGGGGATTTTGCCTTTTAACAGGTGCATAATCTTATGCACTTGGCAGATGCGTGTCCAGCAATTGCTGACAAACAAAATTGTCTACCTCATTGAGCACTGTGACTGTCTTGTTTGATCCGTTGTCAGTGTGGATTGAGTAAAATGGATTTTTCATCTCATACAGATGTAGTGTTTAGTTGTCTGTGCCTTGACTATTTTTCATCGATTTCCTCTGTTCCTTTGAGGTTTTGTCTGGTTTTGTTTATTCCCTGCAATGACTGCTGGTAGTCAGACTCCTTAGGAAAACACTGGTTCCTTCCTTTATGTAAAAATGGATCTGACCTTAAAGTCTGTCTCCTGAAGTTTATTCAATGTAAGCGTGTTGCTGGGGACATCTTTTTGTCTGTGGATTAGTGGAAATGCTTGTTATGGAAATGACACTTAAAAATCATTAGGACTTACAAACGAAAACACAGCTTCCTGTTGGTTTTTGTCCAAGCAGCAGAGTACCTACAGTCTTCTCCTTTGTCTACTAATCTGCTCAGAGTAGATATGATGGATAGACATAAAGTCAAGTCTCGCGTGTTTTCTGGAAGCCTTGTTTTTCTTTCTCTGCCTTAAAGCAGTGATGAGACTGTCTCAGTTTAACAGAATTCTGAAAAGAAATATTTCTTGTTTAAATAGGCAGGTGTATACATTTAAAAAAACAAAACACAGGTGACTGTATGAGCTTTGTTGCTGTTTTGTTATACTTGATGCCCAGTACTATTTTTTTTTTTTTCTTTTTTTAGGATGAATACTATCATTTATTAGCAGAGAAAATCTATAAGATACAAAAGGAACTAGAAGAGAAGCGGAGGTCTCGTCTACATAAGCAAGGGATGTTGGGGAATCAGCCAGCCTTACAGACCCCAGGACCTCAGCCCCCTGGTATCCCCCAGGTGGCTGCTGCCATGGGCCAGGCACAGCCCGTGAGGCCGCCCAGTAAGTACTTCTGTGGGAGATACTTCTGCGCTCCAGCTGTAGCTCTGCACAGTTTGTGTCCCTGGGCTCTCATGCGAATCTTGAGTTTGTATTTTAAATTGACTTCTGTACTTTAAATTGACTTTGAATCTGACCGGTCTTCTCTTGTGTTGCAGATGGGCCTATGTCCATGCCAACCGTGCCTATCAGTCGTATGCAGGTTTCTCAAGGTATCTGTGTTTTTCTCTCTAATTGCAATTTGTGGGTTCAAAGTAATTGTTAGGGGGAAAAGTTGATCTTCTGTTTTTCTTTTGAGGGAGAAACAACTACTGGGTCTCCCTTTTTCAGCATCATTCTTTGTTGTTGCTCTGTGGCAGAAACTGACTCAGTGCAGTCTTGTCTCAAGAACTGGCAATGCATACCCAATACTTTGCTAGTGATTGGAAAGTAGTTCAGTCCTTTCAAAAAGAGGAGAGCACAAACAAGAATACTGTGGATAATCTCATTTAAAACACTGTAACGGCAGGGGCGGGGTGGGGAGGAGGATGTTGGCATGCTTTCATCAGTTAATTAGCCAAAAATATACCTGTAGCTGGAAATTTAGCACATTAATCCTGGAATCTGTATAGCTAATGATACCCTTTCTTGGTTTCTGATGCAAAGTCTGAAAAAGCCTTGTAGCTTGTTTGTAGCACTGATGGCTTGCCATCACTGATTAGGCAGATGTTGACTTACAGGTGGCTTCTTTCCTGAAAAATAAAAACCAAAGTGTCCGTAATTATTTTATTTCTTGGTTCAGAGTTAGTAGTGAGTTGAAACTTGTGTTGAAATGTGTTTGAGACGTTACATTGTTTTAAAATTCATTTCAGTAGGAGAAAAGCTTGATGGCAGGTACAGCTCCCTACTTACTTACACCTTTATTCCTGTTAGACAAGTTTGGTTTTTTCGGAGGGGTTAAATGTTTTATTAAAAAAACCACAACACCTGTTTAAGCATATTGCTAGCTTTTGTCCTGACTTGAGGCTACAAGTTGCCTTCATATATATATATATAAAATGTGTTTTTATCCTATTTACTTCAACCGTTTCAGTGAGGGCTGAATAAGACTTGCTGTATCAAAGTAAATGCCTGATTTTAGGAAACCATCCCAAGGTATTATTTACAAATAGCATCCTATCTTTGCATATCATCCACAGTCTTCATCTTTTGCATTATTTTTTTTTTTTTTACACACCAAAAGTTGTATTTCACCCTAACTGATGTTGTTCTAAAATACTTGTTGCGTCCTGATTTGTCTCTTAAGCCAAGTAATTTGAACAAAGTTAAAAGAAAGAGTGAAGCGTAAGGCAGTCAAACTTTAGTGATAATAAATGTTAATTTTATAGTATACGTACGTAAATTCTGATGGCTTGTTCCTAATGAGTTGTTTTGGGGGTACATTTGCAGGAATGAATCAGTTTAACCCCATGTCCATAGGGAATGTACAGATGCCACAAGCACCCATGGGACCCCGTGCAGCTTCTCCAATGAACCATCCTGTACAAATGAACAACATGGGCGCTGTTCCTGCGGTTCGTACTTCTTGTTACCAAGTTCTTCTCAAAATTGGTTGATTATATTTAGCAGTGGTAATGCTCTTCTGAAAAGACAGTGTCGTAGAGTGGTGCTGTAAATTGTAGGGTAATTTCACAGAGACGTACTGAGTCTGTCAGGCTTTTATTGAGGCATTCGTTTTCAATATTTGTGTTTTGGTTTGTTGGTTTTTTTTAAAAAAATCTTCAGAGGTAGGTGCCAGAGATGCAATAATTTCCAACAGTCTGTTGAAGAGCATAGTTCTTTTCAGAAACTGTCTTTGCAGTGTATTTACCTTCTTTATTCCTCCATGAAAACATGTTTTTATTCTTTAGAAAAATGAAAATATTTTCGGTTTCACTGGATTATCTCTGCTAGCTCAGAGAACAAAATGGGAGTTTTAGCACTCTTAGTAGAGTTTGACTATTACCTGTTTAAAAATAACTTTCTCATGAATACTGTGGAACAAGTGCTGAAGTTATATATGCATATGCCCACTTCCATTTGGTTTACTGAAGGCAATTTTCCTTTTTATTTTTTTTTGTCCTATCTTTTGGTCAATTACATTGAGGGTATTTTCCTTTGTCTTGCTACATAATACTAAATGGTAATATCTTTAATTTGGGTGTTATTTTTTAGATGGCAATGTCTCCTTCCCGAATGCCTCAGCCACAGAACATGATGGGAGCTCATTCCAACAACATGATGGGTCAGGCTCCTACCCAGAACCAATTCCTGCCCCAGAATCAGTTCCCAGCATCCAGTGGGGCCATGAATGTGAACAGTGTGGCCATGGGTCAATCAGCAGCCCAGGCCGGGGTGGCACAGGTAAGATGTATTTTCTAATATAGGCGTTATTTACTCTTAATTATTTTGTTCTAGTTTATTTAGTTTATGTATGTTTGTTTGTTTTTATATATATATATCTCAATTGTTTATTGTAGTCACCCCTGACTTTGGGGGATCCTGGGTTACATCTGCCGCCTTCATATGTAACCTGCCTTCCTATGCTAACTGGGGGGCAATGCCCTGTAGTTCCTGATTTAAATTTTTAAAAAAAGTGTATGCTGATGAGGCTTTTAGGGGGAGTATCAGAAGTCAGTTTATGGAATGTTTATGAACATATGCTTTTTGTGTGGACCTGAGTAGCTAACTTTAAGTCAAGAGTTGCACTAAAGTCAGGAAAGATCTTTCATTTGTTTCAGCCTCTCTACTTCTGAAGAGAAAATTTGGGGCGGGGGTTGTAACATTCTTCTGTTAGAGCAGCGGTCAGTGAAGTAGCAGCTGTGCTTAAGATGCCAAAGTATATGCTTTTCCACAGGGAGAGGCTTGGTTTTTAACTCGGAGTCCAAGTAATTTAGGTTATTTGGGACCTCCAGAGCTCTCTAGTCCAGCCCCATCCTCGCATGAGAGATCACTTAGATCAGGTTACGAAGGGCTCTGTCAAATCAAGTTTGGAATATGTTCAGGACAGAGTATCTGCAGTTTCTTGGGCCCTGGCTCAGTTTGACCACCTTTGTGGTGACAATTTTTTTTCCTAATGCCTTTAGTTCGGTAAAACTGACTATGTACAGGCAATATAGAAGCATGTTTTAGATTTGAAACCTCATCTGCAGGAAACTATTAATTGACTTAGATTTCTGAGAGTAAAAGGTACATCTGAGGATATATATTTTTTTTTTATCACAAGTGATCTGATGCAGTCTTTAGTGAAATGTATAGTTTAAAAGTCCGCACATCCAGAGTAGTTTATTGCTGCTGCTCTGAAAAACAGATCCACAATTTTATTAAGCATACGGAGTAGCCTAATCAGAATTAAAAAAAAACAAACAAACAAACAAACCAAAAAAAACCCAAACCAAAACAAAAAACTCTAACCCAAAAAAACCCCTAAGTCTTGCACTGTGAGATGGGGCAGGCGATAAATGTGTTGAACTGTCTTCTAAAGCACAACTGCTTTAGAGTCCTGGCCTAAAATGTGTGTTTGCTCACAACCATTTTGTATGCAACGTCTGACCTTTGCCCAGCTAATGGCATAATTTAAAGATTGTCTCCTTGTGGGTTTCTGTGTTACTCGGAGATCATGAGGATTCCCTCTTTGTGCCAGTAGAATTAACGTAAAAAGACTTGTGTGGCACATCTAGGTCTAAGAGCAAGGTCTTTAACTAAGAGCTGATAAAAACAATGAGAGAAATCAGAGCATAGTCATTTGCAATAGCAGCATTTGTTTATAGCTGATCTGAGACTTACAGTATACTTGTAAAGAAGACTTCAGTGCTGTCATTTAAAGGATAAGTGTGGTTGCCAGAGTTTTGGGAGTCACATGTCTGTAGCAGAATCTCTCTCTCTCTAGCAGGGGCAGGTTCCCAGTGCTGCTCTTCCCAACTCCATGAACATGCTAGGACCGCAGAGTGGGCAGTTACCGTGTCCACCAGTGACCCAGCCACCTCTGCATCAGACGACACCTCCTGTGTCCACTGCTGCCGGGATGCCACCTATTCAGCACCAAACGCCAACTGGAATGACTCCTCCTCAGCCAGCAGCACCCACTCAGCCATCGACACCAGTCTCATCTTCAGGACAAACACCAACACCGACACCGGGCTCTGTTCCCAACGCGACACAGACACAAAGCACACCTACAGGGCAGACTGCGGCACAGGCTCAAGTCACGCCGCAGCCTCAGACCCCAGTTCAACCCCAGTCTGTGCCAACCCCGCAGCCATCTCAGCAACAGCCAACATCTGTGCAGGCGCAGCCGCCTGGCACTCCAGTAAGTACCAGCTAGTTGCAGTTTTCTTGCATAGTGACATTCCACAAGAGTTCTCCCTATGCATAGATAGCACCATGTCGTGGATGTGTAGAGCCCATAGTTGTCAATAGTAGCTTCTACTTTAGACTAAAGGGTTCATTATAGAGATTTGTAAAAACGTGTGCATTCAGATGTTCTCAGCATCGTTTGAAGGAGGGGGGTGTATGGAATGACTTTGAATTGCTCAAAGTAAAAATGGCAGCAGCATGCAGAAAGATGAGGCACAACAGACCTAATACTGTATTTGGCCTTAATCAGAATCGGCCTTCTCTGATCATGAGATTTGCATAAATTTTTTTTTTCTTTTAAGACACAGTCAGGACAAATGCACGTTTCAAGGAATGTACAGTGTTTTACTGGGCAGGTGTTTTCTCTGTAAAAGAAGCCTCTTTGGGGCAGAATTCTTCCTTGGCCTCTCCTCTGTAAAGCAGAGTTATTAAATGTGTGGTATCGAAACTTGGCTACAGTGAGCTCCTGTATCCATGTTCTGCACTGTTTTAGAATATCATCTCATGTCTCTTTTGTGCTGTTCATTTTTAGTAAAGGAAAATATTTCTATATATGCAGTGTCTTTCTTTTGTACTGTTTTTACAACAGCTATCCCAGGCAGCAGCTAGTATTGATAACAGGGTCCCCACCCCTGCCTCAGTTGCTAGTGCTGATACGAATTCCCAGCAACTAGGACCAGATGCACCAATGCTAGAAAGCAAATCAGAAGTTAAAACTGAAGAAACTGAGCCAGAGACTAGTGAGACACAAGTGGAAGCTAAGACTGAGGTAAATGAGATTCTATACAGCTTAACTGAAAGCAGTGGTAGATATAAAAGCACTTAATGATGTGTCTGAATTGGTGAGCTAAGGGGCAAGAGGAGGGTAGTTACTGGAAAGTAACTGTCCCGAGGAAAGCCATGGATGAAGAGTGCTTTGACAAGCTCAAACTAATATTTTGGTGACTGAAGTTGGGTCATAGATGTAATAGTACATCTCATTGCATCCTTTCTTAAGGTGGAGGAGGATTTACAAGGATCTTCACAAACAAAAGAAGAAACAGATGGAACAGAACTGAAACAGGAGCCAATGGAAATAGAAGAAAAGAAGCCTGAAATAAAAGTAGATGCTAAAGAGGAAGAGGAGAGCGGCACTAATGGAACCACTTCACAGTCCACATCACCATCTCAGCCCCGCAAAAAAAGTATGTGTATGAGCACTGAGTTTTTCTTGTGTACATTGGTTTTACTAGCATTTGTTTTCTATGGTCTCAGCTCCTGCTGGGAGGTCTGTTTTGTGCGTGTGTTCCAGCACGTGGAGATCTAGGAGATCAATACTCTAATTTGTTTATGAAAGTAGGATTCCTTTAATGTTACGTGGGTCACAGGTGAGAAAAGCATGTCATTGTGGTCTTGATCCCAGCAGTCTTCTCGGACATTGCCGTTTCTGCCCAGAAGGACCAAGGCAGTAAGGCAGTGATTGCTGGAGAAATGATATGCATAAACCTCTCCCTATGTACATCTTGGCCAGTGCTCTTTCAAGGGAGCTTAGTGTAGCTAAGAGTGCTCTCAGTAACCAAGAATATCCATTGCTTTGCTTTTACTTTGGAGGCTGAACGCACTGCCTTCGTACTGAGTTTTAGCCTTCACTTCTCTGAGAATTAGGTGCTTGAATTCCTCTCCTGAATCCGTATTCCTCCAGGGCTGGGCTGCTCCAACAGACTTAAGAAAGTTGAAGTCCTGTGTAGTTTTCAGTGTAGTGTTCATTTGAAAGCTTTCTCCTCAGAAATAGTTAGGTCAGTAGTCTCTTAAGATAATCTACAGCATTAGCATAGATACAGGTCCTGAATGGACTTACATAAATGATTATACATGCCTTGGGTTAGTAAGGAATAAATGAGTAAGATTCTTACAGTATTTCACTTGTAGTGCAGGCTTTGTGAGAGCCTGCAAGAAAAGTTTCTGGACTCAAAAACCATAGAGACTGTTTAGAGACCTTTGTCTCTTGGCATCTGCTTTTTTTGAGATGATGTTTTCGATGGTTAGTTTTTAGGTTTTGACCAAAGGTAAGCTTTCAACATGCTGCGAATGTTAAAAAAGGGAAAGTGATGATCCATTTCATTACTTTTTCTTCCTTTGCGAGGGAAACGGCAGGTAACTACCTTAGGAGAACATTATGGATGTGTGCTTTCCAGAATGTGATCAAAGAATTTCAAAGTTTTAAACTTTATGCAGCTTGAATCTTAATCTCCTGTATATGCTTTGGGTTGCATTTAAATTACTAAGCATAATCTGTTGATAATAAAACAGTATAAAGCACATTTTCATATAGATGGTATTTTCAGCTTGTAGCACAGTGGGCCAGCCAAATGAGAGTGTGCTGCAGAACTAACTGGTAGAGCCCATTCCAAGGAAGACGTAACTCCAGGAGTGGAAAGCTTGTTAGCATTTATAAAGCAGTTGTATTCCCGGTGGAGGGGGTCACTGCTGCTTGTTAGGAGGAGTGCGCTTGCAAGTGAACCAAGGCAAGTGGTTGAAAGAGGAAGTTTCTTGCAGAATTCATCTGTGGAAGCTGCACTGTGTCCTTCTGCTGATTCAGTCTGGGTTACTACCTATTTCCAATACCTCATTTAGTAACACAGTTTTATCTTGGAATATTGTCACTAACTAACCATGTAGTATGATACATGTGCAGTGTGGGCACGTACAGCCATATGCACAATTCTAAACAATAACACTTTCTCACCAAGTAGTTTGTCTCACCTTAATAGAGCATTTGTATTAAAATGCTAAATAAACCAAGAGGGATTCGAGAACAAATACTGTGAAGTGTGCTTAAGGGTTATATGAGACTTTAAAACTACCTATGAGACTTCTCTGGAGTTTTGCATGGGTTACAGAAGTATTGGAAACTCTTCTTCCTTCCCATGCAGCCAGATGCCTGAGGCGCACCCCGCAGGAGCCTGGGGTGTAGCAGAGAGGTGCTGCAGCTGCGAAGGGAGGGCTCGCAGCTGGAAGCCTCGTGGAGCGTGTGCTGTAAGATAGCGGAGCAAGTTGTAGTCTGGTACCTTAATGTTTGAAAAGATTCATCTGGACCCCAAAGGATTGGGTTTTTTCTGGGTGCAAGTGGCTTATGTTGTGGAGTTGGGATCTGATCTGTTTGTACCACCCATCCAGGTGTCCTGAACACCCTCAGCCTGGCTGTGCTCACTTAGCGTAACTAGGCTGTAACCTGACCGAAGTGGTGGGAAAGACTGTACGGGCTATAAGACAGACCAAGGTAATACTGCTGAGGTGCTGGTCTGCTCAATTCACTTACACCTGAATTTTTGTAGTGTAGCTTTTTTGGAGAAGTGCAGACACCCCTTCGGCAAGATTTTCTTCCTCATGAGGGCTTTGCCTTCATAAATGCAGGCAAATTCAGGGTTTGATTTGGTTTTGCTTTTTTTCTGTGAGTGTAATGTAAGCAAAAAAGGAAGGTTTTTGGTTCCTTGCCTCTTCCCTTGCAGTCTTCTCAAAAGAAACAGTGTAATGCTCACTTGGGTAGCTCCTGTCTCCTCCTCTCATTGTAGATGGCTGCCTCAGTTTGATGACCTTCAAGTTCAGTTTTGCTGGTTTCTTCCCTTTTTTATAATACGTAATCATGCAAAACCTGCAAGGGCTTGGGTTGGGGGGGGGTATTCAGGTGTATTGTCCTCATTCTTTTGAAGATGTCTCTATTTACAAATTTTCTCCGTAGTAATCGTAAGCAGGATTTCCTGTGTTTGAAAGAAAATTTTAAGAGGTAGCGTTATACTCTTCTCTGGCAGATAATGTATCATCATAATTCAGGCAAAAATTCCATTTTCTTTTTACCACCCACGCATCCAAGACAAAATGGGATAACTGGATGCCAGCTCCTTACAAAGATCATCTGGCTACCGGAGGAGAACTGAGAGCATTTAATTTTGGAAAAGGGAGAGAGGCGAGAACAGAAACTTTCTTGTAAAATCTGTGTATAGGGAGATCCTATGATCAAATGATCTGTTATTAGTCATATTCCTTGGAGGCAGAGCAGCTTTTTTTACTGCTAAAGATGAAGGCCACTTTTTTTTATGCTTTTAGGTGAAGTCATAAATCAAAATAATAACTGGATTTTGATTCTGATTTTTTTTTTTTTTCAAACTACAAAATGGAAGTGGGTTGTAAACTTTATCAGCAAACGTAATCAGGCTTTAAGGAACTTCGCAAAAGTTGGGCTGAATCTCTTTAGTTTGGGTTTAAATTAAGGTTGGATTTCTTTTGAAAGATACTCTTATCTTAGTGGTATGTTTTTATAGGGGTCACTACAGGGAAAATTGTAGGAGCAATGTCAAGCAGGTGGCTAGAACAGATTATTAAAAGGTGCTTTTTGACCTTTAAATTTCATTAAATGAAAAAATTCAGATTATCAGGTTATGAACTACCTAAGCCAGAGAAGGGTGGTTCCAGAAGCAATAAAGAATGTTTTTTCTCATGAATGAAATTTAGTATTTCCTTCTGTTCTCAAGAATTCCATAATATAGCTTAGTAGCTGTTAATAAAACCTTAAGCGTATATGATAGGGTTCCTTTCATAGGGAAGTGCCTTCGTATATGGTATCAGTAAATGTGGAAGATAATTGCCATTTTGTCGGGACTGAGATTGTGGCAGCAACTGAAATGATCATTGAGTTGCGTTCGTCGTAACAACAAATGTAGGCCTCCTTATCTCGTCTGGGTTTTAATCTGGCGAGTCTGAGTTCAGTAGCAGCAGCATGAGATCTTGATGTATCTGTAAGGCAAGCCCCTGCAGAAGCCTTCTGGCAGCTTGCTTAGTCTTTTGCCATGATTCAGGTGACTTGGGTGGTATCTTGCCTGTGTGTACATGAGCAGCAATCCTTTCTCCAGTTAGAGGCAGCGCACTGAAATGGTCTTAAGATTTTCATCCTGACTAACGATTTCCAGGAGCAGGAGCATCTATGAACGGCTAAAACAATTGGGAACTTTATGCTTGAGAAATTTTTTGAGTAGTGGCAACTTCATTTCTTGTCTTGCTTTATTTTTGTGTGTAATTTTGGTGAGTGTAGTTGAGACAAAGACTTCCTCTGAGAAATATCACCTAAATGAAAAAGTGGGGGGGGGGGGGCTTTTTAAGAATCATAGATTTTTTTTTTTTAACTAGAAGTCCAAAAAAGCAGTTTGTATCTTACCAAAATACCATTTGAGTGACAAAAGCAGTGATCAGCCTCGAAGGGGTCACTAGCCCTGTTGATTTAAGTGCTTTCAACAGAACTCCTAATTGTTCCTTTTTATTGGTATCATTCTCATTTCAGCCAGGTAGTTAAATATTAAATGCCATCCTGCTTTCCTTAGTTGTCTTTTTTCCTCAATAATAGGCATACTTCCCTATTTAAAGACTCTGTTCCTAAGGAAATAAATGTAATTACACTGCTGAGATGTTCAAAGAGCTCTCCAAGTTATCATTATTTTTCAGAAAATGCATTGCCTTTCTTGTCCTTGTCATCCACTATTGAAAGAAGCATGGCTGTTGCCATGCCACTGTTGCCAAGTGGTTGTAATGATGCATATAAATCTGGAAGTATTAACACTTTCAAAATCAATTAACAGTCCATCAGACCAGGACTGTTTGTATACTACGGCCAGAAAATTCCTGTGCCAGTTATCAAGACATCTGGTTACTCTCTGTAGAGCTGGCTGTTCGGCCCTGTCCACCACGGTGGTTTTTGCTGGAGGAATCTTGGCTTGGAAATAGCAAATAAGGTTAGAAGGAAGGGAGAGGAAAATATGCTTAGTCTCTTCTCTGAAGAGAAAAGGTTCATCCATGTTGAAGCAATTGAATTAATTTGGTTCTGGGTAAATTAAGGGGATTCTCTAGAGTATGTTCCGTTACGGGCTACAATTGTTCCTAGCTCCTTAATCTGGGAATATCACCTACTGTGATTTGAGTAAACATAAAAGGTGTGCGGTAGCCTCCTGATTGTAAGTGTTGCCTCTAATCAGCTATACAAATCAGGAAATCCCTCATAAGATTTTTATGTTGACATAGTTCTTTGGTTTTTTGGGGGACTCGAGGTTAGGAAATGTGGAAGGAAATTTTCTAACCTTTCTGACTTTCATTAACAGTTTTCAAACCTGAGGAGCTGCGCCAGGCTCTCATGCCTACCCTTGAAGCTTTGTACCGGCAGGACCCAGAGTCTCTACCTTTCAGACAGCCTGTGGATCCCCAGCTTTTAGGGATTCCGGTAAGTTGGCATTAAAAAAAAAGAAAATGTTTTTGTGTTTTGTCTTTGCTCATTTAAACAGTTTGTCTCTTCTGTTCAATGTATTGTGAATAGTTGACATGTTAAAAATAAAGGGGTTTGTGTGTGTTTGAAGGACTACTTTGACATTGTGAAGAATCCTATGGATCTTTCAACCATTAAACGTAAATTGGATACTGGGCAGTACCAAGAACCTTGGCAGTATGTGGACGATGTTTGGCTAATGTTTAACAATGCCTGGCTTTACAATCGCAAGACGTCCAGGGTCTATAAGTTTTGCACTAAACTCGCGGAGGTGTTTGAACAAGAAATTGATCCTGTTATGCAATCACTTGGCTACTGTTGTGGGCGCAAGGTACGTATTCCAGGGACAGAGTTGTATTCTTCCAAAGAACTTAGCTTGATTGATCAGATAAAACATTAGCTTTGTATACTCTTTAAAAAATTGTATACTCTTTAAAAATACAGAGTATAGTATATATAAAAATACAGAGTATAGTATATATAAAATATATATACTTCGTATACTCTTTAAAAATGGAAATACTGAATTAAAGGGTTGCTAAAAGTTTGGCTTTATTATAAGCATGGTAAGGGCTGAAAAAGGTAGATAGTATCCTTCTTGCTGCTATTCTATTATTATTGTTGTATTTTTCTCCCTCAAAGAACACCTTTTTTTGGTCATAAGCAATATTAAAATCCTTTGCTTGTTTCCCATGCAATAAATTAGGTGGTTAGAGGGTCAGTTATTTAGCTTGTATAGTTAGTAATTGTAACTAAATTGAGAGCTGTGCTAATCTGTTTGCAATAGCTTGGAAAAGCATGATAACCAGAACCATGTATTACGATACCCGTAAGCGTCAGGTTTGCCTAATAGATACTTGATTAACATAAGATTACATTTTAAAGCTTCTTTTCTCACTATTGCTTTGCAGTATGAGTTTTCTCCACAGACCTTGTGCTGCTACGGCAAGCAGTTGTGTACTATTCCTCGTGATGCTGCCTACTACAGTTACCAGAATAGGTAAGTCCCTGACTTTGGATTTTGTTTCCTTATTCAGGAAGTGAGATCCTTTGAGTTCTCTGCGCATACAGAAGAGGAGGATTATTAACTTTTTCTTTCTTTGTCAGCTAAGTCAGGAAAAAGTTATTTCTGTGTCTTTGCATGCTGTCCTTTTGCAGGTGACCCTTTAGTTTCCCGTACTGCAGCTTGATACGCACTATACTTAAGTGCTTGCTATTAGCTAGGCTGCACCATGCACTGCTTAAGGAGAAGTGAGGTTGTCCGTGTTTCCCACAAAATGAGTAGCGAGACTTGCTGGAGACAAAGGGCAGAACTGCGAAAGGCACTGAAAAATCGTGTTACCTTGTTCTGGGAGAATTGTAAAAATACACGGGTTTGTTTTCAAGTTAGTGTCAGAATTTGCAAAGTGAAGGGTATGGTGATTGATTGCAAGATTTATATTCTCTCTTCCTAGTTAGTACTCAATTCTATTTAAATGAGCTTTGAATTAGCATTAAAAACTACCCAGAGACTCCATGAGAAGCTATGAAAACAATAGTTTCTACTATTTTTTTAATTAATATTAGGATTTGGTGTTTGTATGATTACTAAACAATTGTTACAATATTAATTTTCCGCTTAATGCTTAAATCAACAGTGCTGTAATAACAAAGCAAACATAAAACTTGGCTTTGGTTTTGGTTTCTTAGATGTTTCTCTCCCCCCAAAAAATGCAAAACATAAATGGGCTAAGACACAAACTTCCTTTTCCCTGTTTAAAACAATGTTTTGAATTGCTTTCCAGCAGCCTGGCGGTCTGTAAGTCTTGCCAGCTTTGAAGTGCAGGGCAGGCTGTTGTCTAACTGAAGTTACAGAACTAAGTCAGTCAGTGCTTGCATTGACTGTCTCTTGGGGCAATCCCCACCTCGCCACACGTGCTGTAAGATGGTGCAAGGCTGTTGGGTACCACCGAGCTGAAGCAGCGCAGTGTGGGAGGTGAAAACGCGTCGTCTTACATTGTAGGTTGGGTCTGAGGTGGCCTTGGTGAGGCAGATAGCATTGCCGCGGAGGAATGTAAATTCCTGAGCTCTCATAAAAGGTTTTGTGCAGCTGCTGTGAACTCCAAAAAAAGTCAGTCTGAAGAGAAATAAAGCAATTAAAATGCATTTAAAGAGATAGTGCTTCAATGCTGGAAGTGGGGAAAAAATAACCCTTAAATATCAGTTCTGTGGAGTGGAATTTCAGATACTTTTCTTGTTGCATGTCCGGGCAGTGCTGTATTTGAAAAGAACAGCAACTTCAAAAATAATTGACAAAGGGGTGATTTTTGTTTCAGTTATGCCTTCCCTATTTAAATTAGTGTTAAATCATTTGGGTTACTGGCTGGAAAGCGATGTTAGTTACTAGCAAGAAGTCCAGGTTTGATGGGGCAGTGGGTTCCCCTGGACTTGGTGATGCAGTACTTGTTTCCTACCTGTTATGAATGTGATAGTCCGTTTGCACTGAGTTTGGTCTGAAAGGGTGGTAATAAAAGGGAGGCGATTTGTCTGAGTGTCAGCAGGCTGGTAGCAGAACAGAAGTAGGTGCCGCTTTCTGTTCATCCAGGTGTCTTGAGAAAGGGGTGGGGGTTTGGGATGGTTTTCAGTTGAGGGGGTGGTGTGGGATTTTTATTTCAGTGATGAATGGGTTTAGGTTGGGTTTTTTAACAAAATATTTCTAAAGATCGATCACCATATTTTTAAGTGTGTATTTGGGCTATCAGATCATAGAAAGCCCTTATTCTTCAGCTGTATTGCTCTAAAACAAATTGACTGTTGCCTGTGATGGTGATCTTCAAATCTTAGATTTTTCTTAACCGAGCAGCAAATTTGTGAAAAGCAAATTCTGTGGTTCTAGTAGCTCTGTAATTGGTCAAAAGTTCTTGGCTTTTTCCATTTACAGAACAAAGTCCAGCGTATCGCATAACTAAATTACAACTAAGAATATTTTGGCACCATTGACTCCATGAACTCTGGCACTACAGTTCAATGAGTAAAAGTTAATTATTTGGTAGGGGACTGGCTTCCAGAGGTTTAGGTTAAAGTAAGCATTCAGAAAATACACTTCATGTGTCCAGTTGAGAAATTTAACCGGTATTTCCTATCACTAGTAGCATCCAATTACTAGTTCAGAATTTCCTTTGAATGCACTTAATTACAGTTGGGAATTCACCTGTTAATGCAGATTGAGTGTTTTCTGCATTTTGGTATTGAACCATAATGTTAATCTTTGATAAACAGGAATCAGTCACCTCAACAGTCTGCATTTGAAAAGCTTTTCATTTTTGATGTGTTGCAATAAGTACATTCCTTGGATTTTCTGTGACTGTTATAACTAGTGTTGTACGCTTTCTGTGGGTTTTGTTGGCTATTTGTGGTGACATGCAGAAGTCAGGGGATTACAAGCAAGTCTCCATTTCTGAGGGTCCACATTCATAATAAGTTACAGCTATTGTTTCACCTTGGTTATTTTATGGACAAATGTTCCTGATCTTTAGGTGGTTCATTTCCACTGTATTTCAATTTTTATTTCCTCATTTTAATATCATGGGCTGAGGCTTGACTCTTGCTAGTGTGAGGCTTTGGTTCTGCAGCACATGCTGCGCCCTGCACTCCCCTTCGCATCCGCGGGTCGCTGCAGCACGTGCTTGACACCAAAGCACTCGTCCCCGCGAGACTGAGCTCCCTGCAGCCGCAGCGTGAGCAGAGAGTGGAATAGCTGTGCCGGCGGAGCGAGGGAGATTTCTGTGGTGTAACTTAAATCCACTGTGGAAGGCAGCCTTGTTGCTCAGTTTCACAAATGCTTTGAAAGCTCATAAATTATTCTGAAAATGGATCAGAATTAACCTTTTCTGGGATTGTTTAAATATAGCAAAATATTAATAGTAGCCTCGACCATGGATTTTTCTAAACACACTCCTGTGTTTAGATCCTCCTGTGTTTCAGTCCTTCCCAATCCGAGTCTTAAAGGGTGCGACCTTGTTAGGAAAATAATTAGTGGGGATTTTTAATTGATGAAAAATGTAAAGAAGCACATTATAGGAAAAAAAAAGGACATGGACAATGTGCAAGAGAGATATGAAATTCCGAATCTGTTATGTTTGGGTTTGTTTTTTTTTTTAAATTATTAGACTATACTGTGTCAATTGAGGGGTGTGGGGCAAGGGGTAGGCATAGATGAGATCTGCAGTGTCAGTATCCACTCCTAAAATTCTCTTGTAATATTGCTGTGTAATAACCATAATACATGTATCATTACCAATTATTACAAATTAATGGAATACTTTTTTTTTTTTTTCTCCTGGCCTTTTTCTGTTCTATTATCAGCTCCAAAAGCCTTGGTTTTCCTTGGAGGTGATGTGTTTAATCCTAGTTGAGCCGACCCAGGAGAAGTCACTTGCAGTTTAGCTGGTGGATATGTCAGTATGGGCTATATTAGCTACAACAAAATACACCTTTTTCCTCTTTGTGTCAGTCCCACAGTAGAAGGGAGTATTCAGTGTGCTGATGCATTTAAGTGGTTCTTGGCTAGCAGAGCAACTCTTGAAGCCTGAGCCAGCTGGCAGAGCCTGCAGAAGTTTTCAGGCTCTTGTAAATTATGCTGTGGTAACACAGACCTGGCTCCAGCCTGGGGAGGACACAGATTGCTCTGCAGAACGTCTGTCCCCGATTCATTGGGCGCTGCTGAAGGACCCGCTCCTGCTTGCTCGCGCCGTGTTTCGCAGGCAGTTAGAGAACATGTAGTGGTGATGTGATGGCCAGTGTGTGTCGCAGGAGGGAATTCCGATCCATACATTTCAATAAGTGCCTGTAAATGGCTTTGGTTGTCCCCAGGAGAGCACAGCCTTGGAAGTCTGTCACCCAGATCACAGTTTAAGTGTATGAGTATGTGTTTGAAGGGGCGAGCTGCCATATTTATTAATCTCCATCCCTTAAGTTGTTGGTTCATTGTGACACTGAGTCTTGTTTGATGCCTTTTATACTTACCACTGTTACGGTTCTAGTGTTTGAGTACTAAAACTGCGTTTTACTGTGCTGCCGTTGCTGCTTGTACTCTCTCACTCTTGATCCTCCATAAAGCTCCTTTATTTTGATGATCCTTTGTGGCCTTCCTGCATTTTACAGCTGTGGCCTCTCTTTGTTACCTTTGTTCATGTGTGAATTCATATCCTTTCCAAATGTTTTAGCCTTTTTTTTTTTTTTTTTTTTTTTTTTTTTTGGTATTAATGACCCTGAAAACTTTGGTTCCAGTTCATCTGAAACAAACAAACAAAAAAACGCCAAAAAAATGGTGTAACTTTATTTTTTTTTTCAAATGCAGATTGTATTTTCGTAGAGTTGCATTCCAATTTACTCAGCTTAGTTTATTAAACTGCAGTATTGGTTTTGCTGAGTATAACTTGGATTGGCTCTTGGTCTGGTGACCAAAATCGTACCTAGCCTCTTGTATTCAATTTGTAAAGCTTAATTCTGCATCTTTAATGTGTCTGATAAATATATTGTATGTATGTACAATATTTAATGTTGTTCACATATATACATATATTGTACTTATATAGATAAATGGCTGGAAACTCTGACCCATAATTGCATTTCTGTTAAATGTTTGTCTAGAGTATGGATTTGGTTTCATTTGTATTAAATACTATTAGCTGAGCAATTGGTCACATTTAATCTTACAGTCAAATAACTTTTGAATTTCATATTTTTATAGATTTTTTTCAATACCAAGTGTTTCTGCTTTTACAGTTTTTACTGACAATCAGTAAATGCTTTCAGCATATTTTCTGATTACTTAAATCTGTAATAAAAATCTGTTCGTAAAGCTTTTTGACAGGCTGGTTTTTTACCCAAAGGAAACTCGATCAGTCACAAGCCTGGAATGAAAGAGCATTTTTTCCTAAGTAATGCAAATCAAATCCAAATTCTTAAATTTGAAGCCTATACAAACGTAGCGCTTAGTAGCTACTTCATTAATCTTCCCCAAATTTTGAATTTGACACCCGACAACTTGTTAGTAATGTGTGAAATGAGACCGAATGCTAATCTGTGCTTTGCCTTGGCTTTCTGCTCTGTGTTGTCTTGGTGTTTGCGTCTTACCTCTTACGTCTGTGCTGTTTGTTCCCTCCCCTGTTCTCTAATCCTGCCCTCCCCTCCCCTCTGTTCCTCCTCATTGTCCACACTGACCCATCTATCAACCAACAACGCCCCCCCTTTCGTCGTGGTGATCTGCCCTGCTCTGGTTGGTGGCTCCGTGCTTGGGTGGCTGTATGTTGTGCTGGACCAGTTCACCCAAATATGGCCTTCTTGCTGACAGGTATCACTTCTGTGAGAAGTGTTTCACTGAAATCCAGGGGGAGAATGTCACCCTGGGTGATGACCCTTCCCAGCCTCAAACGTAAGTTGCTTCCTTTCTTCTGCATGCCTTAAATAGGAGGGATGAGGTCGTCCTGGTTTGATAGTAAAGCCCTGTGGCCGGTGGGGGTGTTTGTGGGGAAACGCCTGCTCCCTTACTAATAGGAGATTTTTACAGTAGCAGATGATTAACGGTCATTACTGTGTTGGGTCTGTTGGTCTGCCCAACAATGTCACTTGTCTGTGGTTGCGCTACTCGGGAGCTGCCCGTAGGCTGGTTGCAGGGGGTGGCCGACACTAGTTAATGTGGCTGGGGGGGGATGGAAGCTCTGTCAGTAAATGTCACTAATCCATTACCTCTTCAAATGAAAGACTTCAGCTAATTCTGATGTCTCCCCTTTTGAAGTACAGCTTTGGTTTGTGAAACCAATGGTTTGTCTTTAACCTGACCAGAAAATAAGACGCTCTCGAGATTTGAGGAATACAAGCTGTTTTGGAAGGTGGTGCTTTACTGACGATAGCTTCCCTTGTTCTTAACAATTTTAAATTTATGTGTGTACTTGGGTATCTCTTATTTTGCTTTTAATTTGCACAGAAAGTGAAATGGGAAAAATATTTTCTGTAGCTTAAAATAAAATGAACTGAATTGCTTTCTCTGAATAGAAAATAAATACTGATATGCTTTCTTCTGACTTGAGGTTTGCTCATTTGCTGCAATTCAGAAAAGCATGATGTTATCTCGGCCTCTGATGTAAAAGTACTACTGAGTTTTCATATTAACTCTTTGTCTCTAGAACCATCTCTAAGGATCAGTTTGAAAAGAAGAAAAACGATACACTAGATCCAGAGCCGTAAGTACCAGGCTGTTGTTGTTCTTAAGATAATCTCATCGCTTTCACTTGTTCTTCAGCCAGCAGTTCAGAAATGAGGCAGTTGATAAAGAGTCTTCCTTTTTCCCCCATCTCTGCCCAAACAGGCTGCAGAATCTTTCTCTAGAGCTCACACAGACATGGTGGCTACCGTTGATAGCCAGGAGGAAAGCGTGAGCCTGTTTTAAAGGCAGTTTCTAGTTCTGTTTACTTGGATGGTTCCGAAGGTGTGTCCTGCAAGGCACTGTGCAGCTGGCCGAAAGCGGCCCTCCGTTGTACAGAGCCTCTCGCACCGAGCCCTCGGTACCTGGGGGGGAGTTCTGCGTTTTCCTCTTCTGGTTTAGCTAGACGTCTTAACCGCATTTTGCTGTCCACCTGAGTGCTTAGCCTGCTGAAAGGTCCGCCCTCCTTCCTTGCGTTCATTACCCTCGGGAAGTTCAGTAAAAGCCAAGTTGAACGTTTCTTTAGTAGCACTGGGCTGCTTTTCCTGCTGTCCTTAACTGAAACAAGACTTTTATCTTACTGCTACTTTGGCAGTTTGATACGTAATACGTTTTGATTCCTTTTCTCGTCTTTGCAAATACTAATAGAGCTCCTCCCCTAGACCTTTGAAGGTTGGCTGCTGAGATATACCCATGTGCATTTGGCATCATAACCACTACTGTAATCTTGACTGGGAAAACTTCTAACAGCTTTCCCATCCAAAAAAAGAATTTTGACATATTATTTTTACCAAAAAAAAAAAAAAAAGGACTACAAGAGACCCATGCAGGCGAAGACAAGCTAATACGTGTTTTTTTGGCACAGTGATTCACTAGTTTTATATTTACAGGGAGCTGTGCAACAATTTAGTCAGCTTGTGGTTACTGCAACAATTCAAATTAAGTCTGTAGAGGTACTCTTGAGCAGAATTCTTTGAAGCTGGGAAAATTCAGAACTCTGCTTAGAAAAGGATAAAAAAGATCCAGAAGAAATTGTGCTTGAATGCCAATTTCACATTTTTAAACTAGTACATTTTACAGGGGGGTTTTATGTATATGTATCTCTATATCTATATATATCTGTCTTATTTGCACATGAGATTGATAGATGTATATCTGGAGCTATTTTAATGAGATTTTTTTAGACTGACGTGTAAATTTGGCCTGCCGAAGTTGATTTGATTCTTAGCAGAGGGTTGGAAAGTCCTTCTTTCTTGCTGAATTCTGGAAAATTGCTTGCCTAACACCACAAGTGATTGGCTGCTTTTTTTTCTTCTCAGGTTTGTTGACTGCAAAGAGTGTGGTCGGAAGATGCACCAGATTTGCGTATTACATTACGATATCATTTGGCCTTCAGGGTAAGAAGTTTGTTAGTTTTCTACTCATGGTACAGTAAGACCAACATAGTTTATGTAATACAGACTTTCTGCCTTTGCTCTTTAATATGCAGTCACTGCCTTTTTAAGAACTGAGTACAAAAGGACAAAGCCTTTCTAAGTAAAATACATTTTTTGGCATTTGGGGTCTCATTTCAGTATATTCAAATTAAAATGTGCATGGAACCAACTTGTTCATGTACATGGATTTCTGTGGGTTCTTTCTAACTACTAAACAATGGAAGCTGGTTGGAGGTGAGTTTGGATACCGCAGAACGCAAATGCAGGTGTAACTGCTTGGCAGAATTAAGCCAGCTCATAAAGGCTTTAAGTCGCCCGAAAATGGAGAGATACAACCTGTTCAAATTGAGAGACAAATATATTGTACTCTGATGGTTAAATTATGGGTTCAAACACTAGGCTTAAGCTAGCCAATAATGGGTTTATGCTAAGTTTTTGGCAATTTTTTTTTTTAAATAGGTTTGTCTGTGATAATTGTCTGAAGAAAACTGGTAGAACACGGAAAGAAAACAAATTCAGTGCTAAAAGTGAGTTTGATATTTCTGGTTTTATCTTCAAGTTTAATCTTCTCCCTGCCACCCCTAATAGCTTTTTTGATTGAGACTTTTGGTTGTCATGATAGACAGTACAGGAATATTTGCAAAATGGGGAGTAGCATAGCGCAAGGCTTTAGGAGCTGTCAGAATTTTAATCAACATTTTAAGGACCTGCTCTTCATGTGTTTGTGGTCAGTCTTAATGCTGCTTGAGGTATTTGGCATCTATGTTCTTATTTTTTCTAAGATTCAAACAAGAAAAGGAGAGGGAGACAGAAGAGGAGAAACATAAGGCTGTGTGCACTTTACTGACTATATTTAGACATGTTTCCATGTAGTGTTGAAACTGTAGTAAATGACTGTCACCTCTGTGCCCTTCAAATAACATGTAGTAACAAGTTGTACTGCTTTTCAGGTATACGGTGGTACTGCTAAGTACTAGTGTATTTGAAGAGCTTTTCTTGCTTCTGGAGTGGACTGTGGTATAAGAACTGTCCACTGGAATAAGTAACCAATTGTACTACGTGTCTAGATTTTCTTGGAAGTAAGCATTGTCATAGTCTTCCTGAAATGTGCACTAAAGAGCACCAAAAGCTGCCAGGTCAAGTTGTCTCAGTCTCCTTAGTAATCCTCACACAGATGTTCTTTGTATGCATGTAACATCAGAGAACATAGTTTGGTAACTTGTACTCATACGTGTTTGGGGGGAAGAGTAGAGGCTAGCATTGGGAATGCAGTGTCAGTGGCATAAAGTAGAAAACCAGTGTAGAAACCAAGAGGGCGATTCAGACACTTGAACAGCTAGAACTGGCAGGTACACTTGATTCCTCCCTTGTTCTTCTTTGGTCCTTGGAAGTTCTGGGCATTACCTTGTTATGCTGTGACTTTGCGAGCGTGAATCTTCCAAATGGTAATAACGAGTGGTTTGGCATTAAGTGTAACTTCTTGGTAACTTCGTGTGTGGTTGATTGCATAATAAGAGATTTGAAGGGGGATAATTTGGAAGTTATAATGCTGTATGAGACTTACTAGGTTACAATGATCAAAACGGTCTCTGGAGTGACCTGATGCATGCAAGATAGTATTGTTAAAGAGATTAAAATTAGTCTCATTAAAGACAGATTAAGATTGTTAGAGAACATTAATAAAATGATGAACTAAAAATGTAGTTTTAGGTAAGCATTTTAAATAGATGTCTCTTCAGTTATATGCTGACTTCACAGCATATATTGATGTAAATTAGCTGAAGTAAGTATGTGATTCCTTGGATGTCTGCAGTTGTTCTGTGACGTTGCTTAAAGTTTGAGTAACCAGCTGTTTAGTTCAGGGTAACTGTTCCATTCTTTGGGGGTCTGGACAGGGAAATAATGGTGCTTTTTCCTTTCCCTTGATGTCCTTTTCCTTCTCCTTTCCCTGTTGTTTGTCTATCTTATTTCCTTTTTCCCATGATGATTTGGGTCCTGCTGCCAGCTGTAATCCACTGGTGGGCTCAGCTCCTGAGATCAGTTTTCTTTAACAGTGCTCTAGTGGAAACACAAGAGCAGGGAAGGAAAACCTGCTGCTATCAGCAAAGCCTTGGTCTTACTACTGTCCTAAAACCAAACATGAGCAATGAAAGTTTGAAACTTAACATGTTTCGTCTCCTCTCCCCCTCCCTCCCCATAAAAACCTTTACTTACTTAATTGCCATCAGTATTTCTATGCTCTCTCAAGCAGGCAGGCACAACTGCTAATAGTCAAGGTAGCATTTCCCTCAGCTGCAAGCTATTGCCCAGCTGTTACTGTAACATTCATATTCCTAATGTATATTAAGTAAAATTGCTTAACCACATCGCAAGTAAGTTGCGTAAAGCTGACTGATAGCATGCCAAATATAACCTATAAACCAGTGTACAGCTGGATTATGCTGTGAAATCCGTGACTTCTGAAGTGGTTTTCTTGCTAAGATGATCTACAAATATTACTTAACCAGTAGTTAATGAAGAGATGTTCAAAGACAAAAGATATCCTGACAAATAAGTCATCCAAAGTAGTTTCCTGACAGAGTCACAGTAAGCCAGAAGTCTGACTTTCTTCCTATCTGTCCAATTACTCATCCAGTTACAAATGTCTGGCCATCGCTACTGCAACAAAACTGCTGTACTCCGGCAGCCTGAAAGCCTTCTGTGTTGTTACCGGCTTGAATGCCTTTTTTCAAGTCTGCACTGCAGTTTTCATTGAGACCTGAGCTTTTTTTATTATTATTTTAAGTTGTGGCTGCCCCTCCCTGGCAGTGCTCAAGGCCAGGCTGGATGGGGCTGGGAGCAACCTGGTCTGGTGGGAGGTGTCCCTGCCCATGGCCATGGGAACTGGATGATCTTTAAGGTCCCTTCTGACCCAAACCATTCTGTGATTCTCTGATTTTATTAGAAGTACATGTGTCAGAGGTGTCCAAGAACCAAAATCCGGTGGCATTCTAAAAGAATTTGCATGTTCTGATATATCAAAACATGCTTTTAGAGCCTTTCCTTACAGTCCATGTGTTGTTAATGCTGCCTGTTTCTTTTATCTTCTTATCTGGTCTGTTTGTTTGTTTGTTTTTCAAGTCTTAATGCATTGCAGCATAAGGAAGGAAGCAGATATCATTTGGTTGCTTAGCGTTGGAAGGATGATAAAATGAAAACACAACGAGACAGTAGAGTTAAACAAAATGGCTTCCTAAAAATGTACCAACTCGTTAGCTGAAATGGAACCGTTTCTTTTTTTCCTCTGTCTTTGGAGAAATCAGCAAAACAGGATAACTTCTTCAGAAAGTATTTCTGAATTTTAAAGAAAGTTCCTTGAATTTCCTTTCAAATCAGTCCCCTTCTAGTATGTATGTAAAGCCCAATATATTGTATTGGGCTGGGAAACACGGAAAGGCCAGTGTATTGGAATCAGTAAAGAGCACAGTGTATTTTTACTTTAACCTGCCTTTAAATTTAGTTATTAGCTCCCAGGTAAATGATATTTAGACTGTGTTGTACTGGTCATAACCATGGAATCTCACTGGACAAGGGGACAAACCAAAAGATGTAAAGTAAGATTGCTGTGTTTGGCAATTTCTATAAACCAATTGTAAAATAAAATTTTAAGTATATAAGTCCCTTAAAGTGAGATCTTCCTTTGAATGTATGTGGCTTTTTTCCACAGTATTGGCGCCTAAAATAATTTTTAGCATCGGTATTTCACTGCAGCATTCCATATACAGGCTCAGTAGTAAGGAAGAAGAACCAACAGCCTTGTGTCAGTAGCCAAATAACAACTGAAAAATGAAGCAATGGAGAGCTGAAAGTTAAATGCATTTTAGTATAGCGAACATCTGTACATTGTACCATCACTTTGGAGAAGATAGCAGATTGACCGTAAAAATGAAGTAGAAATACTAGTTGGTAGAATAAGTACAGCAGGGTAAGACAAATAGTCATAAATCTTTAGGTGAAAACAGGCTGCTACTTCTGTTTTCTTAATTTAAACCAAAATCTTCGTCTTAATTTCTGTAACTTGTTGTGGATTTACTTGAAAACCCTACATCCTGTAATACTGCAAATCCAGCTATCCCCATAAAAGCTAATTGTAAATGTAAAGACAGAGAGGGGGGATCTGGACAATATGTGGACTTGAACTTCTAAAGACCTCTATCGCTGTGCAAGAACTATTTGAGCTTTATGTGCAGATTACTGTAACTGTTCAATCTAAAAGCTCTCTTGAAAAGAAAAGAAAAAGAAATGAAATCTCCACTGAAGTCAAAAGGCTTTTCATTTCTGTTGATTTGCTTTGCTTTGCTTGAAAAGGTGTGGCATTGAGCCAGATCTATAAAGTGATGTAATCTCTGTCAAACAGCCAGATAGTGGTTTTGTTAGGAGAAAACATTTGCAGTGTTCATAAAATAAGCCTGCAAATTTAAAAATGCTATGTAAAGCCTCCTTTGTTAGTTCACTTGCTAAATAATTTTCCCACAATAGTGGTTTTAGCTTCCACAACAGGGTATGAAGCACTTAAGGCTTGGTTAGAAACATGGATGGTCTTGCTTTTTTAATTTTCACTGCGTAAATAAAAACATCAAATTTTCATATGGAGGTAAAACAAAGAGGGGAAAAAAAGCCTACTTCGATACAGAGAAGCAAGATGAAGGACCATACAAGCATGGTAACACCTTGAACTTCACAGCCATTTCTCCAGTATTAACGTTTCCATTGTCGTGTTCTCCCCCTTCATTTCTAGGGCTGCAGACTACGCGTTTAGGAAACCACTTAGAAGACAGAGTTAACAAATTTTTGCGGCGACAGAATCATCCTGAAGCTGGAGAGGTCTTTGTCAGAGTAGTAGCAAGTTCAGATAAGACAGTAGAAGTTAAACCAGGAATGAAATCCAGGTTAGTTCTATTAATTACAATAAATGCAATCTTGGTGGGGTTTTTTTAGTCTCCCTGCATAAATATTGCAAAACCGTGTCAGTTTGCACCATAATCCCTTTGCACGTTTTTGCAATTTAGGCATGAGAAAAATTATGAAAGATACAAGAGGCGGTAAACAGTAAATTAACTCGAAGGAGGTGGCAGTTGTATCTTGACTGTTTGGAGGGGTTACGGGGACGTCCTGGTTTTGGTTATACTACTATGACTTTGTATTACTAAACCTTGAGAGAGAGTCTGACCACATTTTAGTCTGCCTTGCAGAATTGATAGTTTAGTTTGGAACAGTTGCTGAGATTCTGTTCCTTACTGTTCCTTCATTTTGTTGTGTTTTTATAAATACTTTAGCTTTCAAAAGTTATTTCTAAGTCCCTTCATCATAAATGAAAAGCTTAAAAGGTTTATTCTATGAAGTATTTTGGCTTTAATTCATAAAGACAGTGTTTACGTGACATCACTTCATTGTCATGCATCAGATCATCTGCTCTGCAACATATTTAAAAGCTTGCAGTTCCTGGGGATGCTCTTGTACTCGGTGCCTGCCTATACGATGCGTGCCCTGCATCGTACGTTAACTATATGGAAACTGTCTTTCCTGAGTCTTACAGTAACACGATTCCCTGGTTTTATACAGCTCTGATCTGACCCTGTTTACCTTCTGCATAAGTGTTTCTAACAAGGTAAAAATAAGGTTGAAAAGAATTTCCTCCTTCTGGTAGGACACTGGTTTAATAATTGGCTTTTTGTTGTGTGGTTTGTTTTTTTTCCCCCCCTGTTCCTTCCTACCCTCCTTTCCTTCAGATTTGTGGATTCTGGTGAGATGTCAGAATCTTTCCCTTACCGTACCAAAGCTCTGTTTGCATTTGAGGAGATCGATGGAGTAGATGTGTGCTTCTTCGGCATGCATGTACAGGAGTATGGCTCGGATTGCCCCCCTCCAAATACAAGGTACTCTTTCCTTTCTGTACTGGTGGTGCATGTCCAGTGACTGTAGCAAGATTGTTCTCTGTGCATTTACTCTCAAATACAGAAGATTAGGAGATGTATTCCAATTCTGTGGCACAAATAAGTCCTACTGTGTGACTGCAGGTGACTTTGAAGGGGAAAACCAGAACAAAAGTGTTACAATTTTGTGTATTCTGTATTTAATTTTGCCTCTTGATGTATAGTCTTGCTGTCTAAAAAAAATGCTGCCCATCTTTTGCTTTTTGGGAACTGTTTGTGCCATGTTAAGATGCTTAAATATGCATTAAAATAATGCCACCGTTAATTTTTCTTTGTTCGGTATGGCTGTGCATGTATCTAGTATAAAAGTCAGTTCTCAGTAGACAAACCAGATGTTCAGCTATACGTGATTTTCTGTCGTTCTCTCATTACTCCAGGCGTGTGTACATATCGTATCTAGATAGTATTCATTTCTTCCGCCCCCGTTGTCTCCGAACTGCAGTTTATCATGAAATCCTCATTGGATATTTGGAGTACGTGAAGAAACTTGGGTGAGTGAGATCTTTGTAAAGAAAGAAATCTTTTTGCTTAGCTTTTTTTTTTTTTTTTTTTAATCCAGGATGCCAAGTAGCTTTTCACTTGGGGTAGTCTCTCTTTCCTTCTGCCCTGTCTGAAGTATGTTGAACACATGCCTCTATTCTAGTGGAGAGAGAAATACAGATTGTTGTCACTAAGGTGGTTTTTCTATGTTAGGATTCTTAAACTGAGCATATCATTCTTTTTATCAGAGATTCACTTGGTGTTTAAGCTTCATTATTACATCCCAGACCTTTTCTCGTCTCTTGTATAAATAAGAGGTTGTTGCCTCAGCATCTTTGTTACAAAGAAAAAAGAAAAGAAGAAAAAAAAAAAAAACATCTAGAGGTCTCAATTTCTGTCTCAGTTTGTCTGGGTTAATTTTAAGATGGGAGATCTTAATGATAAGATCTTAATGATCTTAATTAAGATCAAAATGATTAAGTTTGGTTTTTTTCTTGTGTGTGAAATGCAGGTATGTGACAGGACACATCTGGGCCTGTCCCCCAAGTGAAGGAGATGACTATATTTTCCATTGCCATCCACCTGATCAGAAAATACCCAAACCCAAACGCTTGCAAGAATGGTATAAGAAGATGCTGGACAAGGCGTTTGCTGAGAGAATCATTCATGACTACAAGGTTTGCTACTGTTTACTTCCTGAACTAATTTTTATGGGCTTTTCATTTGAAGGTGGCTTATATTGTTTCGTAACGCATGAAACCACGGTAGTGTTGTACAAGGATTTTTAGTCTCAGCCTGGTACCTTCATTTTCTTAGATTTTTCTGGAGGTTCTGCCTTTCAGACTGAAAATTCCTTAGGTTTGGTTTCTGCATTAAGACAAGTGTGCAGGAGCCTGCCTTTGCATACTCGTCTTTCACTGCAGTCTTCTAGGCAAGGACGTATGTAGCTGGTTAAGGTTTATAGAAGTTGTTTGCTTCTGGTGGGTGACCCTGAAGGATTAGCTAGAATACTAATTTGACCCCACTAATGTGAAATCAAAAAAACTGTTTATAAACCAGCTTCTTCACTTGAAGAGAAAAAGGATTATTTTTGTAATTGGAGAATATCACACATGTACCCAAGGAAATAAGTTAAAGATGGCAAAGGCAGCATTTGCCACTCCTTACATGCTAAAATCCACAAGAATTTCTTAATGGTAGTGACAGCGCTGGAAAAAATTGGTGTTTTGATTGCAAGTGACAGTTACTAAACGTGTGGAATAGAACAGCGTATAGCAAGCCTTGTCATCTGATCTGGCGTAGCAAAGAGCTAGAAAATCTGTGTCTCTCCTAATAAGGTCGTCTTGAAATGAATCCGAAGAAGAAAATTGGCTGGTCTTGTACGTGCTTCTTGAAGGCAAGGCACTGGAAAAAAGGCAGCTCCAGAACAACCGTTTGAAGTACCTGTCCTTTTCAGAATACCTGTTCCTCTCAGAGGTCCGCAGTCTTTCTGGCCGGGTGGTCCAGAGCTTCAGCCAGCAGGGAGTAGAGTGTAGAGTCCCCCTGCCACAGCCAGACTGGAGTATTGCTGTGTGGAACGGTTGGCCGGTGCTTTCAGCGACTCCTCCTGGAGTTACCAGGGACGTTGCACCAGTGATGCACAGCCCAGACACGTGCACTGAAGTGCTTACCCGCGTTCAGACTTGTCAGGGAGAGGGCTGGGCACTAGAGATGCACGTGCTGGCCCTAGAACAGTTCCTGCTCTTGTCCAGGAGCAGCGTGGGAAAAGCTGAGTTGTGAGCGCTTCACCTGCGGTTGGTGTGGTTACCAGGGAGGGGTTTGCTGCGTGTTCCAAGGGGTTTCTCAGTCTCTCCCACCATGTCAGGAACCAGTTGTGTGGTGAGGGTTCAGGAGAGCCTCAGCAGCTCTCTTCCTGAGATGACGGGGAATGGGCTGACAGCAGTATTGCCAAGCCAGCGTGTGAGCTGCAGCCAGAAAAGGAGACCTGCCAGGAGTGGGCCACGGGCTGGAAGCGAGGCCCAGCTGATCAGCGTAGCACTGGAGCATGTCCCTGGTTCTCTCTCTCCCAAGTGGTCTTCATTTATTTATTCTTGGTATTGTGTGACACGTTTAACAGGACATCTTCAAACAAGCGACTGAGGACAGGCTGACAAGTGCCAAGGAGCTGCCTTACTTTGAAGGTGATTTCTGGCCCAATGTGCTGGAAGAAAGCATTAAGGAGTTGGAGCAGGAGGAGGAGGAAAGGAAAAAGGAAGAAAGTACTGCAGCTAGTGAAACAACAGAGGTGAGTTAACTTTGTGTGCTGTACTTGCTTCTAGCTCACAAAGCTGACAGTTAGCACTTAGAGAGTTCAATTAGAGAAGTCACATTTCAGTAAGATAGAAAAGAAGGTCGTTCGCATCAGACGTCCAATCAGCCCTCCCTGTAACTGCATTTCTGGTTTTCTTCTGGATAACAAAAATGATGGCTGGGGCTTTGTGATGTTTGGGGGTTTTTTTTAACAGAATCAGAAGTCAGTTATGTCAGTTCAGCATCTCTGTTCTCAGAGAAATGTGCTAAGCTACTTTTGGATCCCATCATGACTGCTACGTTTGCTTGCAGTCATTTGCCTGAGCTTCTGGTTCACACCTTTGCAAATCATCTTCAGTATTTGCATTTTGAAAGATGCTGTATTTTTCAAAGCTGAATTAAGTTTTGCTATTGTTTAAGCAAAGGTACTTGTAGTCGTCTGTAACAGTAGGGGCCTGAACTTTAAAAGTATTTGTTCCCAGGTTTGCATTGATGTGAAACGTTGATCCTGATGGTGGTGTTCCTTCACCAGCGTTCTCTCCTTGTGTATAAAAACCAACCAAACAAAAAACCCGACAACTTAGCTTTTTGGGGTCCTGGCCAGAATTTCATTATTCATTTTTACTTCTGTCTTGATTGTATCTATAACCAAATGGTCTTAGCGCTTTTGTACTGTCCCTTTTACTTGTGGCTTGCAGCAAGGTTTTTTGAAAATAAATATAGTAAGAAAATCTGAAGTCTGGCAGATTGAGGTGGAACCAAAAGCTTTAACTGGAGAAAAACTGCATTCAGCTTAGATGCCGTGACAATTTGCCTACAGCCTGTATTACGTGTGATTGATGTGGAGTGATAGACCTTAATCCATCAACTTCATTATGTCAGAAAGTTCCTTCTATTAAACCTTTGCAGCTCCTTCAAAGCTAATACAGTTTGTTGCTATGTTTTTTTATGGAACCATAAAGTTAATAGTTTTCACCTTACTCCTTCTGAATGTAACTTTTCTTATTGAAATATTTCAACAAACATAGCAGTATAAAAGTAACAGAAAGACAAGGCCTGGGATTTAAATTGCAGTCCCTTTGCTAACGGTACCACTTTCAATAAACCCTAGCATGCCCTTCCAGTGAAAATGCCCATGTAAACCTCTGTGTCTAAGGGGGAGGGGAGAAAGGTGTGTTAAAAGCCCAGCACAGCTGACTGTGAAACGCGTACAAACTGTCTGCCTGAAGTGAGAAGGGGCAGCCTTGACTGTTAACAACCTTCTGTTCTCACTTAATGCCACTGATGTTGCTTGGGGTAGCAGGGGAACAAAACCTGCCTCCAGGCTGCTGACGGTGGCATCCAAGAGTGCAATGAAAAAGGTAACAGCGTGGTCTTTGCCACTTGGCTTAGAAGGAGGAGTAAAATCGAAAGCATGAGAACTTCTCCAGTGCCGTCACCTAAACTTGTGTCACTTTATGGAGGAAACTATGCCCAGCAATGGGGATCTCCATGGGTAGAAGCACTTGATGAATCTTTGCAATTTGCCTTGTATTGAGATGATACAAATCTGTCAGTCTTCTCAAATTCTTAGTCCTAAACTCCACAGAGTGGAGAAGAAGCTTCTTAAAAGTCAACATGTGCTGTGAGTATAGTTAAAGAGAGTCTAAAGAGCTGGTAAATATTCTGAAGCGCTTGAAAAAGATTCTGAAGGGACAAGGCTTATTGAGTAACGATGCTGGTGGCGGCTCTGGCAAACCTGGCTCGATAGGTTACCTGCTGTCGAAATGGAGTAGTACAAAAACCATCTTACGGCTTCTTAAAACATTCTGGAATAGCTTTGTGCAAACAGAAACGTGCTAAAGGTGGAGTAGAAAGAAAACTTAGACTTATGCTCTTAGCTAAGTTTCAATCTGATCTTCCTTTTGGTGTTAAATTTTACAGTCTATGTTGATGCTGTAGAATGCACAGGCTAAGGAGGACATGCCCTGATTCCATCAGGGTGGCAGAAGATTTTGGGGAAAAGAAGTCAAGGTGGAAACCTACAATAGCTGATTTCTGAATACCTTCAAATCACTTAGAGTTCTGGTTTCCCATAAAATAGTATCATTTTAATTTCCAAACAGGTTTGGTCAAAAAGTCAATAAAATTAGTTACAGAAAAACTGAAATTGGACAGGGAATTCCTCCCTGAGCCTAATGAGTGGAGTGGAAGGATGGCAACAGTCTGTACGTAGAATTGCTTTCTTCAGTTGGGATGCTTCTGGTTTTGTGGAATACACACGCTTGCGGAGAAACCCTGTGTTTGCTTATACCTGGTGTTCATGAAACTTTCTTGCGTGTGTGTGTGTGTATATCAGATTCTTTCAGTAGCTTATTTTTAATATTACAATAACAGACATTCTAGCAGTCGGAGAGGGGATTTTTACTGAGTGGTGAGCTCCCTGCTGAGGGCTTGGGTTTTTATTTTTCAAGGACATGAGAAGTCTAAAAGTTATTTCTGTTTTCACAGGTCATCTAAATAGCATCATCTGCTATTTTTTACTCTCTTTGCTTACATCTAGTATTCAGTGTATGGTCACAGTGGTCTATGTTGTTGTCACTTAGACACAAGTGAACGTTCTGGGGATTTTTTTTTTTTCTGCAGTTGCATATGCGGCCGTAAGTCTTCAGGATGAAGAACGACATCGGTGGCATACCGTTACTGCAAGAGAACATGAGCTTTTTCCTGCAGGATTATCTAACCTCCTTGATTTTTGGTTTTTGCCCTGTTTGTCTGCTGGTCTTTTTATTTTGTTAGTTTCAAATCTTGAATGTCCTTCGCTGTGTACTAGCTCTAGACTTGTCCAGCAAAAGCAACCAACCATTAAGTCAGAGCTCAAGCAAGCATGTGAAACCCCAAATGCCCAACAAAGCAAAATGCTGCCCTTCTGGAAATTTTTTAAGTCCATTTTATTTGTAACTCATTTAATCATCAAATATCTGTAAGATCGTGTAAAGCAAGTGGCGGAAGCTGAAGTACAATGTTTGAGAAGGAAAAAACTGAGTGTAAGACAGGAATTCTTTAAGGTATATGTATACTTTAAAAATCTATTTTTAAACAGTGTTTGAATTTGTTTGCCTGCCAGTTTGGCTTTTGATTTTTCCTGGAAGATAGGATATATTTAACACAGCACGGCCGATTTGTAGGCATTGGAACAAAGTTGTGTTACTGACAGCAGAAGCGTTTCGCTTACAGCTACACTGAATGGGAGAGAGCTCTCTAAAGCCTAACATCTTTCCTGTGCGTTTATTGCAGGGAAGCCAGGGCGACAGCAAAAACGCCAAGAAAAAGAACAACAAAAAAACCAACAAGAATAAGAGTAGCATCAGCAGAGCTAACAAGAAGAAACCCAGCATGCCAAATGTGTCCAATGATCTGTCTCAGAAACTGTATGCCACTATGGAGAAGCATAAAGAGGTACTGTCGAAATAGGCTGCGTAAAGGGAAGATTTTATTCTGATAAAACCAGGCATGATGGTATTCAGAACTGCAAAATCAGGAGGAGTAAAGCTTGTGATTGCACTGGAATTTCTTCTGTTGTATAACAATGCGTTGGAAGAGATTAGCCTAAACTGAGTTAATTAGATAACGTTTGTAGCATACCGTTACTGCAAGAGAACACGAGCTTCTTGGCGCAAGGTTCTCTAACCTCCTTGATTTTTATTTTTTCCCCCGTTTGTCTGCAGGTCTTTTTTGTGATTCATTTACATGCTGGGCCTGTAATTAACACTCTGCCTCCCATTGTGGACCCTGATCCATTACTTAGCTGTGATTTGATGGACGGGCGAGATGCCTTCCTCACCTTAGCCAGAGACAAGCACTGGGAGTTCTCCTCGCTACGCCGATCCAAGTGGTCCACGCTCTGCATGCTGGTAGAACTGCACACTCAAGGGCAGGATCGCTTTGTCTATACGTGCAATGAGTGCAAACATCACGTGGAAACAAGGTGGCATTGCACTGTCTGTGAGGTAGGTGTATATCACCAGAGACTGCTGCGCTCTCTTGCCCTACAGCCAAGCTTTTTTGGGTTTTGGGGTTGGTTTTTTGGATATTGCCCAAAGTTCTTCCAAATTAAGCCTATCCTGATAAAAGGGCTGGTAAGCCTTCAAGGAAGGTGACCACCACAGGGAGGTACCTCTTCTTCTGGAGTAAGTGTCTTTACTTTCTCAACACAGAAAACACCAGCTCTCTGGAGTGGCTGCTGCTGTGTCGTTTATGCCACTGGGGCTCCTCTGCATAGACAAGTGTTTAACTTAATTTTAAAGAACTTTAGGACTGGGTGGTAGGGTGTGGCTGCATCAAACGAGTCTGAATCAGCAGGGCAGTAGCTCATCCACACTAAATGGATGTCCCCGAGAGAATTGAGCGTACCTTCCTGCAAGGTAGCGTCCGTTCTGCTTTACATATGGTGCTCTGTGGTGTAAGGAGTGCGGACAGGCACGTGTCCAGGCTGCCCCAACTCTTCATCGTCGTCTCTTCGGCCCAGCGTTAGTGGTTATCTGCCCTTCAGATCAGAGTAATTGCTTCCTAACCTGGCTCGATGCTTTTAATGACTAGTCCTTTCACAGCAGAGGTGTTTTATGTTAGAGAGCGATTACACGTGGAGTTATGCTTGTGGACTTGAGGAGAAGGTGGCCTCTAGAGGGCTCATGATGACCTCTGCCTGTAGCTGAACCAAAAAAAAAAAAATTTGAGAAAGTGCAGCCTAGTTTTTACACTGCAAGTTACTGCCAGGTTTGTGGTGGAAGAGTCCTAATTAATCCCTCTGAGGAAAGCATTGAACAGGGCTTCTTGAGGCAGGACCGCAGGAAATGGATCGTACGCACTAGGGCAATTCAGTGGTGGAAGGAAGTATGGCCTTTAGGTTTCTTCTGGGTACTTCTCTGTAAGGGAGTGCCCTTCCTCCAGCAAAAAAAAGACAGGGCAGTGAAAACATGGGGACAGGTTTTCAGGTAAGTGTTTGTCTTGCATGAACCTTGCACTTGATCTGAGGGTTGTTTTAGAGATTTAAAAAAATACATATTTCGGGGTAGTAATTATTAGTCAGTAATTACACTAAGAATAGCTAAACGGAGAGCCCAGCCCTACTTCTTAGGCAGTGACAGTACGTTTGTCTTACTATTTGGAGGTTTTGGCCTTTGTTACCTAGGTACCCCAGTACACATCCCAGAAAAGTAAATAATTCTGTAATGAAAAGCGGAGGAAAAAACAAAACACAAACAATTCCTGCAAGACTCTTTCTTGTAATAAAATGAAGGCACAATGACAGCCCCTGTTCGTGTCGTTACCCACCGTAGTCAGGACTTGGATTGCAGGCTCGCTTTGCTGAGGCAGCTGCCGTGGCCTCTGCCCTTGGCTGCCCAGCACTCCCTGCACAAGGTCCGCTCCTGCTGCCTCTGTAGGCTCCGTGGCCGCTTCTCTGCCTTGGTGTACCAGGTGTAAATCCAAACTGGGAGCTGTTCACAGCGCGTGGCTGTTGTCCTGCGTCTGTTCCGTGGGTTGTGCCCGCTGAAACCCAGCATGGGCTTCTGCACCAGGCTGGTGTTGCTCCCCTCACACCACTCTTACTCATCTGCTCTTCTGCTGCCGTGGTTAGTGCTCTGCAGCCAACTGAATGTGGATTTTCTTTGCTTTCAGGACTACGACCTCTGCATTAACTGCTACAACACTAAGAGCCATGACCACAAGATGGTGAAGTGGGGCCTGGGTCTGGATGATGAGAGCAACAGCCAAGGAGAGCAACAGTCCAAGAGCCCCCAGGAGTCGCGACGACTGAGCATCCAGCGCTGCATTCAGTCCCTTGTCCACGCCTGTCAGTGCCGCAATGCAAACTGCTCGTTGCCATCCTGCCAGAAGATGAAACGGGTTGTCCAGCACACCAAGGGCTGCAAGCGCAAGACCAACGGTGGCTGTCCGGTGTGCAAACAGCTCATCGCTCTTTGCTGCTACCATGCCAAACACTGCCAAGAGAACAAATGCCCTGTGCCATTCTGTCTCAATATCAAACACAAACTTCGACAGCAGCAGATCCAGCACCGCCTGCAGCAGGCCCAGCTCATGCGCAGAAGGATGGCTACCATGAACACCCGAAACGTGCCTCAGCAAAGTTTGCCTTCTCCTACCTCAGCAACGCCTGGTACCCCTACGCAGCAGCCAAGTACACCGCAAACACCGCAGCCTCCTCCCCAGCCCCAGCCTTCCCCTGTAAGTATGTCACCGGCCGGCTTTCCCAGTGTGTCGAGAACTCAGCCCCCTACTACTGTTTCGGCAGGAAAACCCGCAAACCCGGTTTCCGCACCTCCGCCTCCGGCTCAGCCTCCGCGTGGAAGCGGCTCGGCAGATCGAGAGAGAAGCTGCCCAGCAGCAGCAGCAGCTCTACAGGGTCAACAACATTAACAATGGTTTGCCTCCTGGTCGCCCAGGACTAGTAAACCCGACGGTGGGTTCAGTGAACCAGATGCAGCAAGTCAGCATGAATGTACCCCGGCCCAGCCCTGTAAGCGGCCCGGTGATGTCCAACATGCAGCCTGGGCAGTGGCAGTCGCCCCCGATGCCGCAGCA